CCCAGATTTAAACCGCCTGATATTTCCCATGGGGGAAATTTATTTTGGTCAATTATGTTCGCAGAAAAAGTACGATTCATGCACGAAAAAAAGAAAGGAATAGATATTCAGAATGAAAGACTCTCTTACAGAAAAATAAAGGGTCAACATCTTGTGAAAACAGGAACCGTACTATTCAAATTTTCTAAATCGTTACGGAAAAATGTTTAGAAAATATAGAGATTCTTTGAGTATATGCAGAAAAAAGATTCTTTAGTCCTGTGGTAAGAAAGGAATTTTCTCAGTCACTATGGTCATTTTAAATTGTTCGGCCTCCGCGCCTTGACACGGGTGTATTCGTACCCACCAACTGATGACCAGACATTGTTACACCTCGCCAAAGCGCCTAATTTAAATATCTGACCAAGAAAAGTTTTCGTTTTCAGGATGGATTTCAGGATTTTCAGGATGTACGTTTCAGGGTGAACGGTGCATCATATACAAAATGAATAATTTTCTGAATAAGACCGGGAAATGAATTATTATGGTGTTAACGTAACTTTTGAAACTTTTATGAACATTGACAGTAAACAATATGGGTGGATTTTTTGGGATGGAATGGCTGTTTTGTTAGTTTAACCACTGGAATCTGGGGAATCTTCAATCTTAATTTTAGAATATACAATTGCTCACTTCACCTGTGTCGAATAAAAAAGGCATGACAATTAAAAACAGTTAATGCTGGAACAATTATTAACACTTTCATTCAAAAATTTCATCAGGTCACTTTTGAAATTTAATTCAGAAAAATCGAAGTAGAAGGAGATAAACAAATTTAGAATGGAAGTTGTTATGGTTTCCTATTTGTAAGATAATGCTCGCTTATGCATTTCCCTTCACAACTTATCATAACACTATGGAAAAGTTAGATCAGGTGATCTCAGCGCTTTTCGAGAATACGGTTCGACGGCAGATCACCAGTTAATGTGATGAACATTCAAACACTAGAGCAACTCAAACAAAAGAAAAAGCTTTCATTTTGTTGCAAAACACAGCTGGGATTGGACCAACACTTGTAGGAATTTCTGAAAAATAATTGAAATTAAGTATACAAGGACCGTAAACTATTCATGCAGTGCTACGGAAGTGGTAAACATCCTACTGGTTGTCTTTCCACATTCTTCTTCTCAATATGAAGTAGCTGCTTAATACTTTCTAATTGATTTAACTTTTATTGGTGGTGTTACAATTTAACGATGGTGTTACAATGTGCGATTAAATCCTAAAGCAGTTAAGGAATTGGCTTTATAATGGAAGAAAAGAAAGCAAAAGAGCTGTTCGTATTCTGGAAGAAAGCGATTAGTACGCATACTAAAGACAACATCCAAACTTGGTTATCAGTTGCGAGTTATTTTACATGCATTTCTTTGGTGAAAAAATCTTTTGGATTCTATACTCATGATTACTGCTCTACTTTAGGTTGATGCAAATTTTTTTTCAATCTCTCAAAATATTCTGCTTTAGTGCAGATCCTGTGTAATATTGTTGAGCGACAATTAATCCAAAGAAACAGTTCCCTTTTTTCAGAAAATCCACGCTCTAAGATGGATATGCTTTGCGCATGATGACAACATTTAGAAGCATAAAAAACTGATTTCGCAGAGATTGAATATGTGATGAACAACATGTTTTTTGTTGAGATTAAACACATTTATAACACTCTATTCAATACAATAATTTTCACTTTTTACATTACAGTAAGACTGCGTTGTATCACTCGCTGCCGTCTGTTCTCATCAGATATGTAGGAATTACAGACGTTTTTCTGAAATTGAATCATTCTGGAACTCCTAATTTAAAGTTGTAATTAAACTCCCATCTCCGCTTTTTTAGCAAGCAACATTCGTCATAAAACATTGGCAATATAAGCTTCTTGTGATACTTTTGACTTCTGAGGACGCGCGGTTATCTAAGGGCAGAAGTACTACATAAATATAAGGAGGGACCCAACATGAGTTTTTGTGAATATAAGTTTTTTCTCACTCTATGCTCGCATCTGTTAAAAGTCGAAGTACGAAAATCTTTCATGTTAGGGAATCATAATTAGGAGCTGTGAACAGGCCTCGGCGGCAGGTCTCCGGAAGGCAAGCTGGAATTCGTTTTTCTCGAAAAAGCAAAGGGGAAATCG